TTATAGTCCCTCTTCCCAAGGTAGGACAACTCTTATCAGGAGAACAGATCTCTGTCTGACAGACCATGATTTCATCATGACTCCATCCTTTGTTGGATAGACCTAGACAAATGTAGTTGTTGAAATTATTTAGCTTGAATTAAGTGGATTTCTGCAGGAATACAAGAAAGGCTGGATAAAAACAATGTAATTGATAACTGTATAAATGAGAGGATACTGGGGCTAGTTGTCACAAAGGCAGTTTCTGAGTAAGAAGGTTTAGTTCAGCAGTGGTTTTTGTATGTGTTTTTTTAAACAACAAAACAAAATGATAAACAAATATTCAAAATAAAAAAATTTAAAAATCCAAAATATTACTAATGGTAAATCTAAAAATATTATACAATTGTATAATATTTATTGATTGGACAAACAGAACAGAATAAAATCACACTTTCATTCAGTCAATCTAGGACAGGTATATATATATATATATATATGTGTGTGTGTGTGTGTGTGTGTTACAGATTCAGGAATAAATAAATAACATTTTCACAAAAGGTAAAATAAATAAATAAAATGTGTTCTGTTGACTGTTTATCCTGGACAATAATGGTGGAAATATTAAAAACTAATGTAATGTAAATGTAAAATGTAGTTTTTGTAGCTTAAAGTTGGCTTATAGAATAAACTCAGAATGAGAAATATTCTCAATAAAGTAAAAAAAAAAAAAAAGTGACAAAATAGCCCAATTAAGTCTCCCCAGTTTTAGCAATTTACATATAATTCTTCCATTAAATTTAAGCCTATACAAATCCTATCCTCTATTAAATGAGAAATAGGAGAGTGTAAGAAGGCGTTCCAAGTATTCAAGGAAAAAGTGTTTTGTTTGACTGTTTGAAATTGAATGCATTTCAATTGAATGCATGTATTTTTCAAATAAAAGTAAGTGAGGCATCTATAAAACTATGGTCGACCAGTGTTTAATAGAGGCAATAAAGAACGTGGACTCTATTGACAGGGATGTGGGTTAACCTTAATTGACTGGCAAAGACAGCAGACAGTTTTCCATTCCTGCCCATTGAAATGTGCTCCTTTTGTCTTAGAAACAAATTAAAAAATCATGGTGGGAAGAAAAAAAACCCATGCAAAACTGAATGAAATTACATTAGATTTAGCTGGCAGTCCTTGCTGTGTAAATGACACTCTTATTTCTTAAAATGGACTCCCTGGTGAACTGTTCCTTTCAATTTATTTCTCCATAGCTCACGGCCTCAGACCGCCCTTCTGCTATCTCTTTAATCCAATCACCCTCTCACTGGATGTTATTTATTTGCTTATTTATTTCTTTTCAAAGGATGTAACTGATTTTTATCAGAGGGTAGAAGTGCCTTTTCTTCCTGGTGAAACGGTGACTAACGACCTGCTATCGATTTGTTGGTTTGTCCATGATAGTGATGGCTGTGTGATAGAGAGGCCATCTTTATATTTAGAATTATGCTACAGATACCTCAGACATTTCCTGCCCTGCAGCGTCCTGCCAAACAAATAACGCATGCGGAATAATAAATGATAATTGCTGTCACCTCTGTGTATGATTAGTCAGAAACAGGCAGATAATTGTTGGGGATTTAGCTAGCAAATCCATTTATTTGAACGAATCAATAAATGTGCTGTTAAAAAACATGGACCAGAGAAAGATTCTGAAGTGATAGAAAATTGGGGTTTAGTTGGTACAAATTGTGTTCTTTTTAAAATAAATAAATAAAAAAATACATGAAAAATTTAACTTTTTAAAAAAATTCCATGCACAGAATTAAAAAGGTTTTAAAGCGTAATTTTCTATTAAAATTTCATTTTTTTAATGTAATTTTTGGAAATAATATTTAGTATTTGACTATTGTTTCAAAGCTATTTCAATGTGAACTCTGCAGTATAGTTCTCCGTATAAAAAGTTATTTTATTATGTAAATATAAAATAAAGATTATTGGAATATATTTTACAAGATAATACTATTTCAGTCATTCTACTTTAAAAACATTTTTTTAATTCAAACTGTTACTTGCCATTTCTTTGTATTTATGAAATTCTCTAGCAATTTCTGAGGGAAAATTGTTTCAAAGTAAATCCTACACTATTTTTTGTATCAGTGCATCAATTGTGTGATGCATTATATTTTACAGAGCTGCTCACATTTTGCTGTAGCGAAATGCGCAACTCTCCAAAGCTTCAAAGAATTTATGATTATAAAATCAATCATTCACAATGATTTTATGAATGAATACCTACATGCATAGAAATAGTTCTCTCTCTGACTCTCTGGTGGAATTACTAGTTTAAAATGTATACAATCTGCTCCCTGAAATGAGAATTTAAGGTATTTCAGAAGAAAAACAATCTGTTGAATAAAAAAAGAATCTATTGAATAAAAAGAGTGTTGAATAATTGCACGTATTTATGTTGGCTGCCCATCAGGTCCTTTAAATGCTTTCACTTTATTGTAAATAGTAAAAGTGAAAAAGTATATAATAAAAAGAAAATAAATAAAAAAGGAAAGCTTTTTAGTTTTTTATATATATATAGATATAATATATAATATATAGATATAATTTGAGGCTTAAATTAATGTCCCTCACATAGACTATGCACAAGTCAAAGTCAAGTTTTTATTTTTATTTACTGTCAGTTCAACGCAACTTTTATACTGTAAATAAAACAAAAAATTTGATTAATTAAAAATAAAGGTTCCAAAAGGTGGTGCTTTCACCTTTTTTTGGTTTCCCAAAGAACCTTTCAGTGAACTTCTCCATTGTTCCAAACATCCTTTTTTTTCTTAGCATGAAGAACGTTTTAATAATCTACAAAATGTTTTTAAAGAACCTTTTGTGGAATGGAAAGGTTCCACAGATGTTAAATGTTCTTCATGGAACAATAGACGTCAATTAGAAAAAGAGTGTATTGTATATATTGTAGTTATGTAATACAATAATTGTGTTGGCAGCAAATGCAAACATAAAAATCAAACTCTCACAACATTATTTTGGGGTGATATATATTTCATTTTGTTTACAAATAACATCTATCATTGCTTCAAATATTACATTAGCCATATCCTTTTTTCATAGCTGAAATAAATATATTGCACTTAAAAAAGGCATCAAAACAAATATGGTCAGTTGTCTCCTTAGGAGTAGGATACATCTGACATAGAAATACACACAAACAAAAAAAAAAGGAATAAAGAGAAATCATTTGCTAATATATTGCAACTACATAACTGTTTGTACAGTCCGTTCATAACAAATCAAAGGCTTGATGTCTCCTTAGGAGTAGGATACATCTGACATAGAAATACACACAAACAAAAAAAAAAAGGAATAAAGAGAAATCATTTGCTAATATATTGCAACTACATAACTGTTTGTACAGTCCGTTCATAACAAATCAAAGGCTTGAAATAGTGGGCACATTCTTTCATCAGCTTTACTTTAGACAACACATTCAATCTGAATAAAACACCCTCAACCCTGAAAAGCATTGTGTGGCTCTGTTTGTGTATTTACGCTTGTCTGTTCTGTTCAAATTTGAAGGATAAATAAAAACCGCAGCATCAATAAGTTCCTCACACTTACACACACACACACACACACACACACACACGCTCTAGTTCCTCTTCATCTGGCTATTACAGCAAGCGCTGTTTTTCTGTGATTTGGTTACAGGATGTTGATGAATTGTTGTCGATGTGACTGTACAAATAGGAACGCTTCAGCCACAAATCACCCAATTTCCCTCGTTCCCCTGGGGAAGACGAGACTATTATTTAAAAGTTAGCCCATTATTTACAGGTGTAGACTTCCTGCAAGCTGGCTGTCGACAAGCAGCCTCAAGTGGCTAAAGCTCCGTTTCTGGCACTGGAAAAAAATATTAGCCAGTTACAAAACAGAAACCTGTCCATTTTGCTCTGGATTTCTTGTTTGTGACTTATAGAAATGGCCTCACGTGTCCGCTGTGTTCTCATATCAGTTTCAGTTCACCCTTATTATGTCTTTTTAATGAAATGATGTTAATTTATAGTTTTTCTTGCTGAGGACAGATTAGCAATTTATTTTTCTCATTATGACATTGTTTACTCGTTACCCTCATGTCGTTCCAACACCCATATTGAGGAATAGTAACCAAACAGTTCAAGTTCCCTTTAACTTCCATTGCATGGACAAAAAATATAATGGAACTCAATGGAAACCTGATACTGTTTGGTTACCAACATTCTTCAAAATAGCTTTTTTTGTGTTAGACCAATATGAGGGTGAGTAAATGATGACAGAATTTTCATTTCTTGGAGAACTGTCTCTTTAAATATAAAATACAATAAAATGCCTTAAAGAGTTTTTAAAGAAAAGAAACTTTTCTGACCAGAAAGATAAAACCGGCCTGTCCAGCATGTACGCCTGTATACCGTTTCCATCCAGTGTTACAGTTTTCAAATAGCACAGCGCTCTCTAGTGTCCACAATTTGAACAGGAAGGCTGAGTGGTTGGCAGCTCCACAGATACTGTCTCATATCATTAAGAGGTGATGGATCACTGGGAATGAGAAACAGCAGAAGTCCAGTGTTACGTTCAGTGAGTAACGTTCTCCCTCATCTGGCTCTGGGTGTCGATAAAGGCATGAGATGAATCTGTAAAGAAACAGTTTACCTAAAAATTACATTCTGTCATCATTTACACACTCTCATGTTGCTCCAAACCTGTATGAATTTTTATCCTTTTGTGGAACGCAAAAAAAGATATTTTGAAGAAAGTTGGTTCCCACTGACTTCCAAAACACAAAAAATACTTATTTTGAAGAATGTTTGTAATCACTTTCAGTTCCCATTGATTTTCATTATATGGACCAGAAATACAATGGAAGTCAATGGGAATCGAAATGGTTTGGTTATCAGCATTTTTCAAAATATCTTCTTTTATGTTCTTCGGAAGGAAGAAAGTTATACAGGTTTGGAATGACATGAGGGCAATTAAATAATGACAGAATTTTCATTTTTGGGTGAACTATGCCTTTAAAGGTAGCATTAACACATCTGCAGATGAATTCGGATCTTGGAGTCTCTTATCAACACTAAAAACTCATGCTTGAAGTTCTGTTTTACAAGAATCCGTGTCCGTTGGGCTTTTCGTTCACTTTTTCTCCAGCACAACTGCAAGATGCAGCATGTCCGGGTCGTTAGTCAATGCCGTGTCAGTCAATATTATTTACATGTGGTTCTTCCTTTAGTGTAAGCATGTGTGTATGGGTGCCGTATGTCTTCGCATGCCGGTGATTGGGAAATCTTATAAGGCTGAAGTGGCAGGAATCATACGAACGGGGTCATGACTGTGGAAGAATGGCGCAGTCCCTGGATGGCGGCGTAGGGCCCCTGCTGGAAATAGTGGTGGTAGCGTGGCATGTGGAAGGAGGGGAAGGTCGGCCCGCTGCCCTGCATGGAGCCGGCCAGGGCGGATGGGGTGAGAGGCATGCCCAGTCGACTGTAAGGAGGTAGAGAGCCCTGGATGTGGTGAGGAAGAGGACTGGCCAGGGACGCTGTGCTGGTTCCGATGACAGACAGAGACTGAGGGTGCTGAAAGCCAGAGAAGCCAGACGTGGAGGTAACCCAGGAGCTGAGGGAGAGGTTGTCCGATGCTGTGAATGCTGAACCTACACGGAAAGAATTGAATGCATTATTTGTACCATAAAATGAGCATATTTACACATTTGAGTAATTTTTACAGAAAAAAACGGTTAATTGATAGCTTACACTCTTAAAAATCAAGGTTCCAAACGGGGTTTTGCAGTGATTCCACAGACGAACCATTATTGGTTCCCCAAAGAACCTTAGTGAAGAATTCTTAAAAGAAGTAGCCTATTTTTTCTTACCGTGAAGAACATTTTAATAAATACTTTTTTCGCTACAAAGAACCTTGTGTGGAACGGAAAGGCTCTAAGATTCTTCATGGAACCACTGATGCCAATAAATAATCTTCATTTGTAAGAGTGTAAATGGTTTACATCACATTATATGAATTTGATATTTTATGGTAAATGGAAGAAAAACTTTGAATTGCCATATAGTTTATAGTGAAAAACTGGGTAACACTTTATTTTAAGGTGTCCTTGTTACACGTTACATGCAATTACTATTATAATAACAATTAATTATGCATAATTACATGCAAGTAACCCCAAGTCAAACCCTAATCCTAACCATATAGTAAGTACAGTATTTAATGTATAATTACACTGTAACAAGGACACCTTCAAATAAAGTGTAACCAAAAACTGTACTGGAAAACTGTGTGAAACATGACGTATGATTGCATTTTATATCAATAGTTTTGTTTCTTATTATTTTTGTTATCGGTAAAGTACAGTAGGGTGTTTTGTGTTACATTTTCTGTTATTTAGTTCATGTTTATTGCATTATTTATTCATGTGGGTTACCCTGATGGTTCTTCATCTTTTTGTGTACCGTCTATATGATGAACTCTTATTAATCTTGTGCCTTTCTGTTTCATAGAAAAACTTTGAATTGCCATATAGTTTATAGTGAAAAACTGGGTAACACTTTATTTTAAGGTGTCCTTGTTACACGTTACATGCAATTACTATTATAATAACAATTAATTATGCATAATTACATGCAAGTAACCCCAAGTCAAACCCTAATCCTAACCATATAGTAAGTACAGTATTTAATGTATAATTACACTGTAACAAGGACACCTTCAGATAAAGTGTAACCAAAAACTGTACTGGAAAACTGTGTGAAACATGACGTATGATTGCATTTTATATCAATAGTTTTGTTTTTTATTATTTTTGTTATCGGTAAAGTACAGTAGGGTGTTTTGTGTTACATTTTCTGTTATTTAGTTCATGTTTATTGCATTATTTATTCATGTGGGTTACCCTGATGGTTCTTCATCTTTTTGTGTACTGTCTATATGATGAACTCTTATTAATCTTGTGCCTTTCTGTTTCACCACATGTATTATTATGGTGGTTATCAGTACATTTTTAGTTACAAAGCAGATTTTGGAAGTTCAAGTAAATTTGTATATTAACATTATATAACTGCATTTAATATATGGTTATAGGTTGTAAAAACTATACAGTCATTCTATAATACCGGAAACATTGTCAGTGTATTTTTGAAGGAGACATTCTAGCATTTACAACTGCTGTTTTTAAAAAGTCAATTTAATAGAATATTTTTACAGTGCATGGTTTACAGGAAAATGTTCTTACCTCTACTGTGTGCCAAGTGCCCATCTTCACCCAAGGTGTCCTCATCACCAGCAAAAGTCCGAATGGGCGACCGGGCGTAAGAGTGCTTGTGGATCAAGCTCTCAACACTTTCCCTACAGCAAAATCAAAAGACAATAGCCCAAAATATATCTCTATATCCACAATCACTTACAAAATCATTTGATCTGGTTATGTATCCTAAATAAACTTAATTTTAATAAACTAAACAAATATTTTTCAAGCCATCACATAATATCATCTCATTTAAAGAGAATCCAAATCTCCAAAAATAAACACAAAATAATATTTTAACAGTTTTTGTTGTATGTTTTTGTCTTTTTTTAGTAGCTTTTTTAAAAATCTTGAAATCTTTTTTTTATTATTTAATTTCAGTTTTAGCTTTAGTTATTTTAGTACATCAAGTTAAACTAAAGTAAAATTCACTTTTTTATTTATTTTATTTCAGGTAACAAAGTGAGGAACTTTTAACTTTTATTTACTATTCTAACTTTTTAAACCATACATTAAGGTGTGAATATGTTAATTAATTAACACATCCCAAGTGTCTCTCTGCAGCTTTGTGTTCGATGAATCAGACAGTTCATGCTAGCTTAAACAACAAGCGCATAAAAATATGTTAACACACAGCAAGTGCGTAGAGAGAAGTGTGTCTGCTAGCCTTGCAGTAAGTGCATTTAGCTCCTGTTAAATTAGACTCCTCAGACAGGCTGAGATGGTCTGCATCACAAGAGCCATGCGTCCACATTAGCCTCCCAATTAGGTTAGGAAAGTGCAATATCTGTCAGCAGCGCAATACAAATATGTGTGTTTTTATCTGCGATGCGCTCCCGAGGAGAGGGGCCTCGCAGCCCTACAACTTGGGTGGCTGTTTTCAATCAGTCACGGGGCCCAATTGAATTACGCTGTGTTTTAGTGCAGTGCCCGACTCCAGACTAATGCGATTTCTGCAGCTCCCTGAAGATCAATTGATCAGATCTAATTCACAGCCCTTCCAAAGAGAAAAAGAAATAGAGGGACGGAGAAAGAGAGAGAGCAGGATGCATTTTTGTGTGGTATTTTTGGCAGTCATTGACTTTCGGTTGTTCTTTCGTTGGGCTCTGAAATGGAACTCGCTGGCAAATGTTTAACTGGAATGCTAATCTGAGAGCACATTGCCAAAATCGGTCATTTCCATCATTTCTAGCTTTATAAAATTATTTTTGGAACAATCAGTAGTTTTTCTTGTGACTCTTTAGTCAGAAAAGTGAGCGATACTGACCATTATTCTTGTGCATTTTCTTGCAGTATATGATTATATATATATATATATATATATATATATATATATATACAGATATGTGTGTGTGTGTGTGTGTGTGTGCGCGTGTGTGCATGCTTGTGTGTTTGTGTTAATATTGACTTAATTGAAATATTTAGAGATCATATAATATAACACACCGTCACTAGTGGGCAAAAAAGTGCATTATTCGTAAATATAAAAAAAGAAATGAATAAACAATAAAAAGAAAGAACCTGCAACAATTACTTTCAGTAGTTATTTTAAATGCTGTAAATCTTAAATTAGGTTTTGGTGTGTAATTTGAGAGCACATTGCCAAAATTGGTCATTTCCAGCATTTGTAATATCATCAAGTTATTTTTGGGTCACTCAATTGTTTTGTTTGTGAAACTTGGGTCAGAAAGAAATTGACATCTTTTCAAGTGTGTTTTCTTGTAGTATTTATATATGTTAAAATCGACTTAATTAAAATAGATGGCATTCATTTAACACATCCACAGGTTGCCAAAATTCATACATAAATTTATATTGTATTTATTGATTTTATATATGAATAGTTCAGATGCAAAAGCCTCTAAGTGCCATCTGAAATGTTCATCTTAAATGAGCATTTTTTATCAGGCTGCTATATTTAAGTTCAGTAATTTTACTCTAATGGCAATGTATAGGTCCTTTTCTGTGCAATTAAAGTGAAATAACTGAACATAAATATAGGAGCCTGATAAAAATGCCCATTTTAGAAGAAAAATTCAGACGGCATTTAGAGGCTTTTGCATCTGAACTCTTTAATATCTATATCTATATATATATATCAATTGATAAATATAATATAAAAACTGATAAGCTACAAATGTTACCTGAAGCTATTTCTACCTGACCTAAACAAATCTTAAATCTAGTTTTGTTGGTGTAAAAAATACTTTGATTAATTCAGCAATATTATAGATGTTTTTATTTTTTACCTTTTTTGTTATGAATTATTATTATTTATTTATTAATTGACCACATGAACCACACTTGTAAGTTAACGTTTTTTTCCAGCTTGCATTAAAGCAACCCGCCCACATGCATATAGGTCTAATGAGACTAATGAAAAGCCACTTGTGCACTTGTTAATGAGTTTGGCTGAACGTTCCCCACCACACACACGCTTCACTCCCCAGAGCAGCTGCTCCTCCCTCTGCAATCACTCACTGAACTGAACACACGCCTAGCAGCAGAAGTCCTCATACCTCTCAATATCCGTGAGTCTGGAGGAGTCTCTGAAGCCTTTGGCAAAAGGGTTGCTGTCAATCTTCAGTTTGGTTATCTGCAGCAAAAATAGGAAATGACTAAATTAATCCAGCAGCTCTTTTCTTCTCCCACATGATGTCACGAGCATTAAATTAAACATAAATGACTGATGTCTTCCAGTGAACTGTTCTGCTAAAATCAAATCAATTTGAAACTGTTGCCAAAATATACTCTGTGGTTATTTTTTTTATTTATTCAAAATAGTACTATAATTTACAGCGAAACAAATTCATAAAAATAGCCAGTGGGAGAAATATATACTTAAAACATACATTTTGACTAAATGTATACTGGCTTTTCCAGCTGCCTTACAAAGGAATTAGGAAGCTGGTTGATTTGTACTAACCAGCTGGTTCTGGTAAGCAGTGACCGCAGTGAAAACTGTCTCAGTGAAGACAAAAGTACGAAACTCCTCAGACTTTAGATTAAGAAGTGATGCTGTGTGATCTTTCTTCTTGATGATATGAACTCGTGGTTGGTACTTGTGCATGGAGTTCAGGATGATCTGTTGAAGAAATTGGTCAGAAATATAAGAAAATTTGAATTTATGTGATGCATGAAAACTATAAATAAATATAAAAACCAGGCCTTTGCTGAGTGTATTATGCATTTCATTAATTACTAAAATATTTATTATTATCATCATTATCTCTTTTTTATCATGACACAATATAGAAAACACTATTATGCTTTACCATCAGTCTACTTTTACTTTAAATATGCTGTGTTGTATATCTAAACAGGCTATTAAAACTATCATACTTGAATAATCATCTTTTGATCATTTCTCAAAAACATAAATTTTTTTTACAGGCAAAATATATTTTCTGTAAAGGCACTTATGTTTACAGATACAGATGCCTATCTTTACAGATACTATTTTTATTTTCATTAACCAATTAGCTATAATTAGCACACACTGGCATACACAGAATAAAAAGTAAAGCCGCAATATAGCACAGATTAAAAATAAAGCTTTGTGCTTACGTGTCCGTGCTGATCCAGTTCGTTGTTTGTAAGCTTCACTTTTTCGAAAGAAACCATTTGTTTCAATAGCTGTTCTCCTGTAAATGGTGAATCTGGATGCACGTACAACCTGTAATATAATAACAGGAAAAAAAGTGTATGCTGTCGATCCGTTTGAATAAAGCCTACGTTCATAATTCGATTTTTATTTAAATTATCCTTATAATTAGCCTACATTTCACACAATTTTCTTTGGATTTGAATCTAAAAATGACTAAAAATAAATTAATATTTAAACAAAAACAGAAAGAAGTAGAACGTGCGAAATTCAAATAGCCTGTGTTAGAATTACACGCTTCAGCTGCTAGGTTATCTATATTGTAAAATAATGTTTTTAACGATTTATTCCCTTTTTAGTTACACTGGCTGTTCACATCTTTGTTTATGATTTAGCAACTTTTTAAATGATCAAAAATAGCAGAACAAGCACACAGGTATATGAAAAGTTTCTTACCTAGCAGGTAAAGGTGGATCTGCCTTTCCCGCCACAAGCCACGAGGATCTATGATAGGCATATCGATATCTCTTATTGTCCACCGGAACGATGTCCATTAGTACGATATATTTGGCGTCCGGATCCACTCCGGAAAATGATACACGAATTGTCGGAAACATTCGCCTGTTGAAACAACATAATGCTTATAAGTGGCATTCACGTGAGTAAACATGATTTTTGAGAATATGTTAGTTCAACCGTGTAAAACAAATGAGCTGAAGTAGCCTATTTTACATGTGGTAACAGTTTTAAACCCATGTTATTATTATTTTGGTATATATATTTCATATATATGAACACACACAATAAAGGTAGGCTATCTGTTTTTGATTATTCTCTGTTGAATTACTATTAATCTTTGCTTTTGTAGTCTATACACTTCCTGCGCGTGCGAGTCTGTATATAGGCTAAGTATATAGGCTTAAACCCATGTCTACTGACAACAGGCCTGTCCTGCTAAATGCGTCTACTAAATATACTAAACAAATTCGTCTGCTGGTTTAAAACTACGAAAAGTAAAATAATCTCAGCTTTTTTTACCTTCCAGATTTTGTGATAATCATTTCCGTGCCGAGTTCGTGGAATTTGTCCCACAGTTCTTTCGTCTCGAGGCTGCAGGAGATCTTGGCCATCTCCTCGCTGGGCACGCCGGGGCTCGTAGGAATGAGCGGCTCGGTACATAACGGAGCGCCGCCGCCGCCGCTGCTGAAGTCGCCGTGGGTTTCCAGCGAAGGCAGGTCTGCGAGGTTTGGATGGCACGACGACTTCTCCACGAATTGTTCTAGAATTTAAAAAAGGATCACGAATTATAAAATACATGTGCACATATTTATTGCAGTTAGTGTTACAAACGATGTTAAAGTCTGGGACAAGCATGCAGAATTTGGTTTGGTTCTAATAAAATATCACAATCATATACAAAAACAGCATAACACCATTTACATCATTTGCTTTAACGTTGCATATTTAGTTGTATTATTATTCATATTATTAATAATAATATATGAGCCTATATGAAATGTAAAAATAATATAATTATATGTATAAACAGAATTCACATTGCTATAATTAATAATGGCCTAAAATAAATAGTATTTACGTGCTTAAATATTGATGAAGGATCATAAGTAGGCCTAGTTAATTTTTTTAAACGTTTTTAAAAAAACATTTAAAATGACAAACTGCAGAAGCGCCAGAAATATTCCAACGCAGTGGCCATAAAACCAGCTATTATAATTGTTGTTTTTAAATTTAATAGTTACTGCTAGGCAAATTAGACTTCACTTCTATTTTTATATTGTAAATGTAAATAAACTGCTTGTCGTTTGTGGGTTTAGGGCACCTACAAAATTGAATCTATTCATTTGGATTAGCCAGGAAAGCGTACACATCTTAACAAAACAACACAAATTGGCCAAATACAAAATCTCACTTTTTGATCTGATATTTTTTATTCTATATATCTATTTTAAAAAGCTTAATAGAATTACTCCTTATATTGACAGGTCACAATTGGACCATTTCCTTCGAATATTCACATTTTTTCGACCTCAGAAGCACATGCAATCGTATAACCCACTGAAAACAATGTAATTATTTCAATACTCAGTTCTATTACACGAGGCTATTTTCTTTGATATAAAACTGCTGTAGTTTGACGCAGATGTCACCGTACGCCTCACATGCAAACTCATGTCACTGTTGCAAAACACGAAAACACTTTTGCTATCAAAACTCGTAAAAGAGTCAGATCTGCTCTCACCCAGCGGCTTGATGGTATTTTTCGACCTCAGAAGCACATGCAATCGTATAACCCACTGAAAACAATGTAATTATTTCAATACTCAGTTCTTTTACACGAGGCTATTTTCTTTGATATAAAACTGCTGTAGTTTGACGCAGATGTCACCGTACGCCTCACATGCAAACTCATGTCACTGTTGCAAAACACGAAAACACTTTTGCTATCAAAACTCGTAAAAGAGTCAGATCTGCTCTCACCCAGCGGCTTGATGGTATTTCCCTCCGACTCCTTGTCCTTCGGTTTCCCACTTGACATGAGTGCGGCTATGGAGAAAGCATTCGCCCTAGAAGACAGCTGAGGCTTTGGGGAAGAGGTGTACTCCATGATGCGGGTGCTCAAAACTATTCTCAGCAGCACAAATGTCCAGAGTAAGTCCCGAAACGACTCTAAATTGCAAGATGATATTTAAGTCAGGACTAAGAAGATTGCAGGCTACAGGCTGATGCGTGTGTTACTTCCAAATCTGTTGGAACATTGTGTGTCTCGCTCCAGTCACCCTCTAGCTCTCTTGCAAAGTAAGGTTTTCATTGTAAGTGTTGGACACTAGCAGTCTCCTTAATTTCACAAGCCCCTCCGTCGTACACAGCCACGACCAATCGTTGTGTTGCTTCTAGATCATTGGCTCTTCAACACCCTGCGCTCGGTTTATTTACAAATCCTACTACGGTGACGGCTTGGCTCATGAATATTAATTTATGCTCGTGACGTTAACCTTCCTGATTGGCCGAAAGTGTGACGCTAGTGAGCGGGCGTCAGTGAGTTGGCGAATTATATCGAATAGATTTTTGATAGAGGCGTGGCTTATCAATATTTACTAACTTTTGTGACTGGCCACCTCAAGCAACGTCAGAGCGACGTTATTAATATTCATGAGTTCACCCATAATGATTTCGCCTACTGGGCGCTGCGTAGACCTGAGAAAGCCGTCAAAATGCTAAATAAACTTCATCAGTGTTTAACACATCACATCTGTCTACACTAAAACGCTGGTTATGTATATAAGCTTCCATCATGCATGAAAACTTAAATGTCCACATCTAGTAAAGGACTTCCTTAACATGACAAATGTTTTATCACCTAGAATTTAACTCATTGTATTTGTTTATATGTCTTATATTATTTTTTAGGGAGTATGTTTTTTATGCTAAGATATAATCCATTAATCCAGAACATTTTCTCTCCGACAAAAACACAGGTCCAGACGTTTTCATAATGAGAATATTTTTTTTAGTTAAAGTAAAAATTTATTCTAAGAATTTTAAACTAGTTATACTGCTATACACATAATGTTGGAAAGCAAAAACAACATAGGCTATTTATCAATTTTCAGATTTTGTCGCTTGTTTTAAACGACATCGTCCTGTGTAGAATCCTTACAAATAAGCGAAAAAAAAATCAGGAAATAGATAGGCTATTTTTATGCTACTAATTTGACTCATTAGTAATTGAAAAATGAGAACAGAAAAGTCACAACGAAAGTAAAGAAAACATACAAAAAATATAAATAGGTCTAATACAATTCTAGCCTATTATTCTATAATTAAATAATAATAATAATGATGATGATTATTATTATTATTATCTTCTATGTTTTTATTTTCGTATTCAATAAGATTCCTTATCTAATTAGTAACAGTTACGTTTCTCAGTTTTTTCCCCCCTGCGTTATCCTTTTGAACTTTTGATAAGAACAAATCCTGTCTAGACGCCACCTCAAGCCACCGCTCTCCCTTGATGCCAAAATTGAGACACAGACCCTTTGTCAAGTCAAACACTTAGTAAGCTTATGCCGATCAAGCTTGGTGAAATCATTACAGCAGATTTAACTTACACATTTCCCACAAATAAGCACTGGTCTTTCGCGTTATGCCTAACCTGGGTTCAACTGGTCAGCTGTGGCGTGATGAGACTAAACAGTACCACTCCTAAATGCTTATATATATCATATATGAACACACACAATAAAGGTAGGCTATCTGTTTTTGATTATTCTCTGTTGAATCACAATTAATATTTGCTTTTGTAGCGTATACACTTCCTGCGCGTGCTCGTCTGTATAAACATATATAGGCCTATCCTAAAAGCGCTGACTCTTGTGTATTTTCCGCTTGAGGAATCCTCCTCATCCTCAATGTCACTCTCCCTGGAGAGACGCAAGAGCCCCAGATCTACAGCGTTTAAACCCATTAAGACGACACTCAAATGCAAATCCAATGCTGCAGATATATTATAAGGGACCTTGGCTGGAAAAAAATTAGATTACTGTGCAATTGCCAGCGGATAATGTGCTAAAAGCTTTCCCACTTGGCGTAACTCCTTACTGAATATTATTCACACTTTCGGGGCCGATGTGCCGGCCGATGGCGACTTTAAAAGATACAGCAAAGCCCCGAAACGTGCCCGTCAGGTGCAGTGTTGCCATGTCCGCTTGTTATAAGCGACTTTGGACTACACAGTCACAACTTTGCTAGTGCTTGGCAAAAATGTGACCAACCTCTACTAATCACAGTCAGCTGCCAGATTTCCCCACCTGCTGTTCAAGCGCAATATATTAATGCCATTATTAATTTCCCCGTCCTCTCTATTTTTATTGATTTAGACACAGTAGCCTATGTGTGCAACTTTTTTTTAATATATATATATATATATATATATATATATAT